ATATATATATATCATCAACTTAAATAATAGGAGTAACATGATTTCAAGTGATAATTTAAGTACCAAATTTAAACAAACACAAAATACTCACATTCAATTTTTATATGATAACGTAAATAATCTACAAATAAACATGATTTATTCTTGAGCCAATTGCCAAATACTAAAATAAAAATATTTTATTTAAATTTATTGTATAGAAATGCTTAAATAAAAATTTATTTTAAGAAATCATTATTAATCTGCTTAAACTTTTTCAAAGAAATGTAATCAAATTTGGCTTGATTAGTTTTTGAATTTTTACTATTATTTAAGTCCATCTATTCGTGAACTAGTGTCGGTGTAGAAGTGAGAAATTATGAAAATAAGTACTTAGTTATCATTATTATAATCTTCACTATTGATAAAAAAAATTATTTCGTTAAATTTGTTAAACAATAAAAGTCCAGCATTATTAAATTCAAGTAATCTATTTTATGCAATACCAACCCATAATTAATTTTAAATGATCAAAATGTTCATTATTCAAAATAAAATTAATTTAAAGTAAAACTGTCTATTAAACTGTAGGTCATATATATACTAACAAATTATTAGTCCGAATTAGAGTTGATCTCTTTAAATAAGGTGTTCACTTTAATCTTGTGTACAAAAATAAATATAATTAAAAAGAGAAATTTAACTAAAAATAATCAATCAGACAAATATATTAATCACCTTCTAATCAATAACAATAACATGATTACCAAATATACCGTATGCGACACAAGTTTCTTCACCTTTTAAAATAATCAAAAGTCCATATTAACGTCCTCCATTTTTTTTTTGATTTTTTTTTTCTTGAACATGAGGATACTTTGCAAAGTCCAATCATGTTATTTTTTTTTAATCTTTGAGAAATGAATAAATTTTTATTTTTATTTATATAAATATTTATCTTTTGAATTTTTATCTCTCCAAAATTTGAAATCACTATTTTAGATCTTAACATTCAATTTAACCTAGATAAATTACATTCATTTTAGAAATTTAGAAGTATCATATGTTGATATGATACTAGAAATATAAATAGGAATCTCCATAAATTGTCACTTAATTTTTAAGTTAAATACACACAATATATTAATGAGTTACACATAAACATAGGGGTCAAAAATAAAGATTTAATATTTTTTATGGATGAAAACTAAAGAAAAATATTTACAAGATCATACCAAAATCTTCTTAAAAGACTTTAAAATATATTTAAATTTTAATTTTTACTCTTTTTTCAATATGAAATAATTTTTATAGATTTTTTATTTTTCTTATCATCAATTTTTTGTGTTGTCTATTTCGAATTTCATTTGAATCTGATTATTATTTTATATATAAAAAAACATTAATTCGTGGGTCCTACAAATAAATGTGAAATGCTTAATTTCTTCATCTATGGTCTACCATAGGCCATAATTTTCCTTTCAAAAAAGTCTTGGTCGAAATTTCACCATTTTCTTTTTAAAAGTCTTGGTCCACATTCAAGTACCAAATTTCAACAATCATCAAATATTCATACACACACATTCAATATTCATATGATAACCTAAATAATCAACAAAGAAATATGATTTATTCTTGTGCCAAATACTAAAATAAGAAACATTTTATTTTAATTTACCATATAGAACTTTTTTATTATTAAATAAAATATTTCAACGATGATAATAATGTTAAGTGAATCCGAGTTTTTTACTCAAATAATATATTTAATTTTTTTTTACTAAAATAACAACTTTGCAAATTTATTTTCCCAACTAGCACCATTTACTGTTTACATATCTTTTATTTTTATTTTTTCGTTTTAGGTCCAGATTATCTGGAAATTTTGCATCTAGAACGACCCGTTCTGCAACCAGAACGCCCCATTCTACATGCATTCTCGTTGTGTTTTTTTTTTTTGCATCTGGAACGACCCGTTCTTAAACCAAAACGGGCTGTTCTAGAGTTGAGTTTTTTCACATAACCTCAATGTTGGAACGACCCATTCTAAACTAGGGATTTTAGCCCTTTTTAGTAGTTTGGAACGGGCCGTTCTGCTTTTGGAATAGTATAACATCCCGAATTTTCTATTAGTATAATAGTTAATTATTGTTTATTTTTATATTTATGGAGTTTATTTTCTTATAGATATTTTAATGGGTTTTATAGAATGTTTTAAAGGTTTTTAATAATTATGACTATTTTAACAATAAATATTTATGAAAATTATTTTGTAATATTTTGATTTTTAGTAGTCCAGACTAGGCCATTCTTAAACTGGAACGGGTCGTTCCAGACTACTAAAATGGCCTATTAAAACTAGAGTGGAACGGGCCGTTCCAACACATGATTTTATGAGCAATACGCGAACCCAGAACGGGCCGTTCCATTTTTGGAACGGGCCGTTCCAGACATGGCTATTGTAGCTTAAAATGTGATCCCAGAACGGGCCGTTCTGGATATGAAATCTACGTTTGACGAAAGGGTCCAAAATGGGCCGTTCTGGATTTGAAACAGGTCGTTTTGGCCACATCTGATGCCAATAAATAGCACACTCTAGCACTCCAAAAGAACATTTTTTTCACTTCTAATCTCTTTTTCCTCTAAACTCTCTGAAGACCAAGGGGAACTCAGAGGAGGAGACTAGCAAGATTCTACTTTAGTTTCAGCTCCTATTTATCGAGGTAAGGGGGAGTGAGAAACCTTGCTCTGGGTGTGGGAATGTATGTTGGGTAGTAGGATTGGCTTCCAATCCTGTGTTTGTTGTATGCTCATGTATGAGGGGTTTTCCCCAATTATATCTGTTTCACCTATTGTTCCTCTTGTATGTAATTAATTGTATGATTTGAGATTTTTGTGGGTTCCTACGGGAGACCCTATGAGAAATAGATAAAATTTGAATGGTCTCTAAATATAAATGTATAATTTTAATATATCTATGGGTTCTTATGGGAAAACCTAAGGGAATGCATTTGTAATTGTAAGAGGAAATTATATGAGTAAGCTGATGTTTATTGTATGAATTGGAGTGCTCTATGGGTTCCTGTGGAACCCTATGAAAAACAGGAAAATTTTAAATGTTTTCTATTTTATCCCCTGAGTTTTTTGTTGTGTTCTTTGATGTTTGCGGAGTGTAAATATGTGTTTCATTTCGCAAATAGATGAGTTTTGATATGAATTAAACTACTATGTGAAAATTGTAAATATGATGTGATAATATGATAATGTGATATGGTGGTGTGATATGGTGATGTGATGTGATGATGTGATATGATGATGTGATATGATGATGATATGATAATGAGATATGATAATGTGATATGGTGATGTGATATGATGATGTGTTATGATGATGAGACATGATAATATGATATGGGAATGAGACATGAAAATGTGAGATGAGAAAAGCATGGAGTCTTGATTGACATGCATCATGTGCATAAATATTTTTAAGGGTACGATATGGAATATACCGCCAGAGAAGGCCCCCTAGTGTAAAAGCTTTGGGTATTAGTCCTTGGGGATAGCTCGATTTGTAAGTCCCAGTCTCGCCATTGTGTGCATGAGATGTATCTTGTGTGGCTTAGCTATCCCGACGAGACTCTGGTAGTATGTCCTTCTAGTGAGAGTGCGTAGAGGGTGTGATCCCGCATGTACTCCTAGAGTACTCTTCGTGTATTGCTAGCGGCAATATGCCATGTGATATGTTACTAGCGCCACATGCATGATAAAATGTAGTCCGTGTCCATACATGTGCATTTTAATGTTATATGAAAAATTGATATGTCTTGGATGAGTGAAATGTGATATTATTATTAATTTATCTATGTTATATATGTTTTGTTTGTGTTTGGCTATCTGGTGTATATTCTTACACTGTGAGCCAGAGTGAGATGTTTCTCACTCCCTTTTCTCGTGTTATTTTTCCTTGACTGTCTTACAGGTAATTATCAACATGTTGGTGATGAAGCTTAGGCTTCTATGTTAGGGTTTGCTCTGATAGGACATGTGACATCGAGACATAGATAGAATATTTATGCTGATTTAGCTACTATTTAAGTTATGGATGTGGTATCCTCTATTCAAACATGTTTGGTATTTCAATTATGAAAAAAAGTTATGTTATTTAATTTTTGTTATTTGTGTTATGGTATGTGGGGTAGAGGGTGTCACAAACGGCCCATTCTAGCCAATTTTATGCACTATGCCTTTTTCTTTTATCAATGTAATATGAATTTTAATGTTTAGCTTATAAACTTATAATTATACATTATTTGGACATGTTTTCGTAGT